ATTTTTTTTAACTTAATGTTGTTTTGAAATTTACCTAGCTATTATGTTTCAATTGTGACTATCCTTTCTCTGAAAGATTTTCTTTGGTATAAGCATAATTTTAGGAAGGTGTTCAAAAGGTTTATTTTTTCAGCATAAACTATTTTTGAATGTATTTCTCTGTGTTATTATCAAGTCAGTTCATATTATTTATTTTTTATTTCTTTCTTTCATACTGAACTTAGATTTTATCATACTGGATTATAATGGTTTATTTCTTTATTTGGAAACATTGTTAAATTTTCTCACATTTTCTAGGAAAAAACAGTGTTTATCAAATCTTCTCTTTGCTCCGTCTGGATTTACTTTTATGTTTTATGTTACAGCAATTATCTGTAGCTCCACAATGTGTGAAATTGAGCAAGAAATACATATTTCATTGTCCTCTTTTAGAGAAGTGTGTGAAGTGTATATTGCCATTAAGAAATGGAAATATTATATAATTTTCTATATATAGTGAAGCTTTATACTACACTTGAACATGTCTGTTTTTAAAAGTAAACAAGTAACTTGCTTATAAAGCAGTATCATTAGAAAAGTTGGTTTTTTTAAAGCAAGTTTTTATAGTAAAATAAATTCAACACTTTTTTTCAGAATATCCTCAATCTGGTAAAAAACTGTTTCATCTTTTCAACTAAAAATTAAAGTGATTCTGAGGTTAATTTTTCATTTTCTAAAAGGATTATTTTTTTAATAAGAAGATATTTAAGAGTACTGCTTTCTAAAAAGGGTAATTAAAACCTACACCTTTTATTTAAAAAAATGAACTAAGGGCAAGAATTTCAAACAAACATGCAAAATTACAAAATAATTACTATGGCCCCACCAGTTTACATGTAAGACAGTTATGATTGGTGATGGTACAAGACTGCATTCAGCACACAGAACTACATCTACAGCATCTTCCTCTTAATAGTTAATGAAGTTTTCCTGAGTAGCACTCAGCAGAGTGGATGAACAAAGATGAGGACAAAGAGGGCTTCAAAATAGCTTTACTCTTCCTTTCCTCCCTGGCATGTGTGACAGGGAAGAGATGTGTGGCATGAAGAGGAACAGCAAGCACTAGAGTGTTTCTCCTGCCAGGATGCATTTATTGTACAGCTTCTCTTAGAGTTATAGCTCAACCCGGACCTCCTACAGCTCCGTAAAGCAGGATGCCAAACCTGTGCACATGGAGGGGGTTGTGCTGGAAGGTGGCCACTGTGCTGTGCCAGACTTTGTGAGGTGCAGGTTGTGGTGTAGGGAAGTGCAAGATGGGATCCAGCAGTGCAAATTTCACAGGTGACACCTAATATGTGATGGCTCTGAGGTAACTTGGGAAACTTCAGTTGACATTGGTTAAATCAGCTTGTCTGACTAACACACCAACAATTTTTAGTGCACTATTGAAAGATAAGAAAATTCCTCACTGATTTTGGTTTAGAAGAATATGTGGTAAAGTCTAGTGCTTTGGGAGCTGGTTGATGGGTTGGACAATTGGAGGGGTAATATCTGCAGCCACAGTGTTCCCACAAGCCCAGCAGCTGCTCTAGTCTGGATATGGGTATAAGTAAGAAAATCATGGTCTCATTAGAGAAGTTATGGATGCCCCATCCCTGGCAGTGTTCAAGGCCAGGTTGGATGCAGCTTTGAGTAACCCAATCTAGTGAGAGATGACCATGGCAGGGTGGGTGGAACTACGTGATCTTTAATGTCCCTTCCAACTCAAACCATTCTATGATTATCCAGCAAACATCATTTATACTGGAGTATTTGGTAGAATTTAATTTTTCTATTTTATCACAAAAGTGGCTTACGGGAACAGCAACTCAGATGCTTGGCCAAGAACACAATAAAACTATAGATTTATACAACATTTAGAGTATTGTTACTCTCTTGTAATTACAGGTGTGCTGGGGTGGGTGTTTGAAAACAGAAGGAAAAAGAACACAGAAAACCAACTGCTGGTGGTGGAAAGGCAGTATTGGAAAGATAGAAATAGTGAGAACATGGTGCTTCCCTCTTCCTTGGCTGGACAGCACAAGTGTCAAGTGAGTATGAATAGTGAGAGCAGAAAGGAGAAGAATCAAAACATTGTGGCAGAAAGAAATGAATTGTGGCAGAGTGTAATGAAACAACTGCAATTTTCAAAACAAATTAATACAGAGGAAGTAACTGCATATTGTTAAAACCACCACAGGTGAATCATAGAATAGAATCATAGAATTATAGAATCAGCTGGGTTGGAAGGGATCTCCAAGATCATCAAGTCCAACCCTCGATCCACTACTGCTGCAGTTACTAGACTATGGCGCTAAGTGCCACATCTAGTCTCTTTTTAAAAATCTCCAGGGATGGAGAATCCACCACTTCCCTGGGCAGCCCATTCCAATGTCTGATCACCCTCTCTGTAAAGAAATTCTTTCTAATATCTAACCTAACCTCCCCTGGCACAACTTGAGACCATGCCCTCTTGTCTTGCTGATAGTTGCCTGGGAAAAGACACCAACCCCCGCCTGGCTACAACCTCCTTTCAGGGAGTTGTAGAGAGTGATGAGGTCTCCCCTGAGCCTCCTCTTCTCCAGGCTGAACAACCCCAGCTCTCTCAGCCTTTCCTCATAGGACTTGTGCTTGAGTCCCTTCACCAGCCTAGTTGCCCTCCTCTGGACCTGCTCCAGGACCTCAATATCCTTCCTGAACTGAGGGGCCCAGAACTGGACACAGTACTCAAGGTGTGGCCTCACCAGCACTGAGTACAGGGGAAGAATCACTTCCTTGGACCTGCTGGCCACACTGTTCCTGATTCAGGCCAGGATGCCACTGGCCTTCTTGGCCACCTGGGTACACTGCTGGCTCATGTTCAGCTTCCTGTCAACCCAAACTCCCAGGTCCCTCTCTGCCTGGCTGATCTCCAGCCACTCTGCCCCCAGCCTGCACTGCATGGGGTTGTTGTGGGCAAAGTGAAGGACCCGGCACTTGGCCTTGTTGAACCTCATCCTGTTGGAATCAGCCCAACTCTCCAACCTATCTAGGTCCCTCTGCAGAGCCCTCCTGCCTTCCAGCTGATCGACACTCCCCCCCAGTTTAGTGTCATCTGCAAATTTGCTGATGATGGACTCAATCCCCTCATCTAAATCATCAATAAAGATATTAAACAGCACTGGGCCCAACACTGATCCCTGGGGGACACCACTAGTGACCGGCCGCCAACTGGATGCAGGACCATTCACCACCACTCTCTGGGCCCGGCCCTCCAGCCAGTTCTTAACCCAGCAGAGAATGCCCCTGTCCAAGCCGTGGGCTGTCAGCTTTTCCAGGAGAATGCTTTGGGAGACGGTATCAGAGGCTTTGCTGAAGTCCAGCTAGACACATCCACAGCCTTCCCCTCATCCACCAGGCGGGTCACCTGATCATAAAAGGAGATCAGGTTGGTCAGACAGGACCTGCCCTTCCTAAACCCATGCTGGCTGGGTCTGATCCCTTGTCCATCCTGTAGGTGCTGTGTGATTGCACTTAGGATGATCTGCTCCATAACCTTGCCAGGCACTGAGGTCAGGCTGACGGGCCTGTAGTTTCCCAGGTCCTCCTTCTGGCCCTTTTTGTGGATCGGCTGACATTCGCCAACTTCCAGTCATCTGGGACCTCCCCAGTGAGCCAGGACTGTTGGTAGATGATGGAGAGAGGCTTGGTGAGCTCTTCCGCCAGCTCCCTCATCACCCTTGGGTGGATCCCATCTGGTCCCATAGACTTGTGGGATCCAAGCAGCTCAGTAGGTCGTTAACTGTTTCCTTTTGGATTACAGGGGGGCTGTTCAGATTCTTATCTCTTTCTACAAGCTCCAGAAGCCAGCTGTCCTCAGGACAACCTGTCTTACTGTTGAAAACTGAGACAAAGAAGGTGTTAAATACCTCAAATCATACAAAAGCAGGTTTCTTTAGTTGCCTTTAAACCCTTAGCTATAAAAAGAGCCCTCAGAAAGTGCTGAGGGTGAACTAGGACTTGATAACTTGAGGCTCTACCTGTTAATTGCTGAACTATATCAGATCATAGAAATCTGAAATGTTGTATCTCACAGCAAGACAGCATCATGAATACCTAAATTTACCACCTGATTCCTGTGATACCTGGAATTCACTGCTCAAAGAGAGGACAAATATAGCTCTTATGAAACCACACAATATGTTTGGTGCATTTTGGCAGTTCGGAAAGGGGAGAGATTTTGGACACAGCCAACAGCCACTCTGTCCAAAGAACAGAAATCCCAGTTTCTTAGAGAAGTCCTCAGAAATCCTGAGCTGGGTAGGTCCTGGCACCACTGCACCCAAAAGTCCCCTAGATCTGGTGTCTGGGTTCTGCCACATTCTGCCCACAAAACCTAGAAATTATGTCATCCTAGTGGAAATAAAAATTGCTTTCTATGATTCAACTAAAAAAACCCCCAACAAACAAAAACCCGCAAAACAAACAAACAAACAAAAACAAACAAACAAAAAAACCCTAGAACGAAACAAAAACCGCTAACCAAAAACCCCAACAAAAAAGCAAACCCAGAACAACCACGAGCCCGCGGGTGCCACCCGGTCCGGGCACAGCGGTGCGAAGTCCCTGTGGCCGCGCTCATCTCCTCCTCACCGCCGGGCGCCCGCGGCGCTTCGCGGGGCAGCTCTGCCATCAGAAAGGGCGCGCGTGTGCGTGGGGGGTGTGCTTCGCTTAGCAGAGTCAGAGAAGCGAAACTTTTTTAAAATAAATTTTTGTGAATGGAGGGGTTGCCTTGCCGCGCGGGGGTGTGTATGGGACACGGTGTGCCCGCGGCAGGATCCCAAGACACCGCCGGGCATCCGAGTGTGGACTTCCGAGCCCTTCCCCCGCCGCCGGCGGAGGGTCAGAGGGGAGCGCGGAGCCTGGCGGGGCCGGGCCGGGGGCGGCGGGGCCGGGGCGGGCGGGCGCGCGGCGATCCGGCGATCCGGCGGGGGGCGCGGGGAGCCAATGGGCGGCGGGGATCCGCCGGCGCGGCTCGGGGGCCCCTGGAGGAGGAGGAGAGGAAAAACCACGGGATTGAGCTCTGTCAGTGGCGCTCGCGGCTTCCAAGGGGGAAGTGCCGGGGAATAATTAATGTTTTTATTAAATTTGGAGGGAATTTTTTTGCAACTGATCGCCGCGCGTGGCCTTCAGGTGGGTTCTTCCCCCCGCAACTTTGTCCGCCCGCCCCGCAGGATTGCGCGGCGGCCGCGGGCTGCGGGAGCGATCCTGGGGGAGAAGGTGGCTGGGTGCGTGGGGCGGGGGGGGGCGTGTGTGGTGTGTGTGTGTGTCTGTCTGTGAGTGTGTGTGTGTGCGTGGCTGCGGCTGCCGGGCGCCGCCGCCGCGAGGTGCGCGGCGAGCCCCGCGTTCGCCATTACTAGTTGAGGACACGTTCGCCAGCGCGGGGGCTGCCGGTGGCGCGGATCGCCCGCGGGCACGGCGGGCAGTGTAAATAAACCCCTGCCCCTCGCCCCGCTCGCCGCCGCCTCGCAGTTCTTTTGCTCCGCGTTTTGCTGGCAGGAGCGCGTAACCCAGGTGAAGGCAGAGAAGGGAGGGTTGTTTTTATGAATGGGACTCTTTGAGGTTAATTAGCTATGCAAATGCAAGCAGTTCATTCATGCTGCTGCCCCTTTTTTTTTTTTTTTTTTTTTTTTAAATCTAAAAGCCATCTTGTATTCCCCTCTAGGCTGATTGGAGTCCAGATCCCGAGGAAATCTCCAGATCAAATGCCCAGTAAATAAAACACTGAGCTAAGACTCGTGGAAGAGCTGCAGAATGGATGGATTTTATGACCAGCAAGTGCCTTACATGGTCACCAATGTGAGTGATCAGTTCAAAGTTGGTGTTTATAAACTTGACTCCGACTTATTTCTGTGGGGGAGTTTTACAGACACAGTCTCTGCTTTGTTACCGCTGTAGGGGCGACTCTTCATCTGGGAGCTTTGCCTGCAGGATGAGCCTATCTTCTTAGTTATTGCAATAAAGCATCCTGTTCTTTTAAAGACAGTTTTGGGATGATTAAAAAATCATGCACATGATTAGCGGATGAGAGGAGAGAAGAGCAGCAGCTGCATTCAAAGTTTCTGGCTGTGTTTGCCTGCAATTTTCAGAAGAATGAAGTTCAGGCAAACATTAACCTTTTTTTTTCTCCTTTTATTTTCTTTCAGGACTTTGCAAACAATTTTATAAGTAACACAGGAAAACAAAGCAGTCTGTTTTAATTTCATATCTGGGTTCTTCTGCATAGCTTACGCAGAAGGGATTTATGGGCTATTGTGTAGGTTTGTATACTTTAGATGCTAAAAATACACGATTGGTATTGTGTTGCTGCTTGAGCACATTATATATGTATCTGTACAAATAGATGTCTACACAGATAGATAAAAATGTTTTGCATTTAGCCACAGGACTCTTGGAGGATGTTAGGTGCTCAGCAATATCTTTTGTTAGAAATTTAAGGCTGCAAGACAATCATTTCCTGGTTTGAAAATGTAAAGAATTTATGCCAACTTTGAGTATCCTTGATTAAATTAAAAAAAACCCACACCAAACCAACCAAAATCCAAACCTTCAATTTCTAAAGTAACTGATCTTTCCTGTTTATAGAATCCGCGTGGGAGAAACTGTAATGAGAGACCGACAAATGTCAGGAAAAGAAAATTCATTAACAGAGACCTGGCTCATGATTCAGAAGGTGAGGGCTTGTCATTCCCCCCCTTCCCTCCCCCCTTTTCCCTTTCTTACTAACACAGAGAAGCTTTTTGAGAGCTATTTATTTATTTATTTATTTATTTATTTATTTTTGAGATAAATATATGTAGATCAGTCTGAATAAACTGGACAAGAAAACTGCCTTTACTACTGCAAAACAAACTGGCAAAGACAGTAAATTGATAAAGTTGATACTCTTTCCTTGACTTACCCTGTTGGGTTTTGTGCACATGTGGCACACAGGTGTTGTGCACTGAGGCCAAGACTTCGCAGCCTCTGACACAAGTCATGGCACCTGGCTTTTTCACCATCAGACCTCTTGAGATTTAAGGCTTTTTTTCATTCCTCCTGTCTTTTAACATCCTTTTCACTGGTATGTCTTCACTGGTGGTAGCAGGAGTGAGAGAATGTGGATGTGGAGACTGTCGATTTTCATTCTAGCTTGCTGTAGAGCTAGTAGTCAGGTTTCTGGTGTCTGCTGGGCTGTTTCTGTTGTTGTACAACACTAATAGGGTTAAAATTCCAGGTTAAAATTTCGGTTAATGAAGCCTAGAATTGAGAAAGTTTTGGAGGGCCAAAGATTTATAACTTTGTCCCATCGGTAGTCACTCATGTCTGTAGCTTGAGGACTCTGGGCTAGTAATAGCTGTTAACGCTTCTTTAGGTTACCAGGTCTGTATATGGGCTACGCCTACACCCCTGTGAGTATATAAGACATACAGGAAGGCATGTAGGGGCCTATAACTTACCCCTATATAAATCTTATCAGGTTCAGGACACACTGATAAACTTTTCAAAATCCCTACTTGCCTGGAAAAGTAGATTGAAAGGAAAGCAACTTTCTGATTTTCAGTTAAGTCATTTCCCAATGTGAACGTGAGGTATCAGTCCACAGGATAAATGAATAGCCTCTGTCATTTAAGTGTATGTAAATAGTCATCTGTCAGCATTCATAAGAGAGGAAGTCTCTCTCAAAATACAGTAAATTAAAAATAAACCATTTGTTAGTTCAAATATCCTACTTAGTCTTAGTAAACAGAATTTTCATAACTGAGTTTCTGAGTTTTCCAAGTAAGCCGAATGCTACTCTGGTTTACACCCATTATAAGCAACTGATTTCAGTGAATTGCAAAAGAAGATAAACTGCTGCAAAACTCAGTCTATGAAGAAAGTGGTTTTAACTTTAAAGAAGTACAGTGAGTACAGCATAGAGGAAATAGTGGTGATTTTCTTGTCATATGAAGTAAAACATAAGGGGAAGTACAAAAGATTTCCCATTTCTGTTTGCTGTTGCTGCATCTGAGGTTGTGGCTTCAGAATTTTTATATGATAGATATGACCCTACTATTAAAAATACTCAGTTATTGCTCAGGCAGAACTGCTGAAGTCCGAGTATGCCTTATCTGGGGCAGATATTGCAGTAGGAGGCCTGAATTGTATAAGGAGAAATAGCTCACCTGTAAGAAAGATTATAATTTTTAACTTTTCTATGTATTGCTGAGTGAGCCTGTTATACTACATAGCTTCGTTAAGGTTCTAGTTATTATTTCAAGAGTAGACAATACAGTAAGTGCCTGGTTTTTTTATTAGAAGGTATAGAAAAATCATTAACCGATGCCCCAAAATACCTACTTTGTCTACACATTTGACTACCAAAATAGGATGCATGTATATTGTTCTTAGGGAAAAATATATTTTTGAACATATTTTGATCTTATGAAAAGATTAAAGGTATGAATCTTTTATCTGTGTCTTTATGTTTTTGCAGAACTCTTTCAAGATCTCAGCCAATTACAGGAGACGTGGCTTGCTGAAGGTAAGGGAAAAAACTGCTTTTAAAAAGAGGAAAAACAACTCTGGAGGGGAAAAAAAAAGTCCTGAACTTGCTGTCTTAATGTTCAGCCCAATTAATTGAGCTCTAAAAGAGCCACCTCATGTGTCATGCATACATTAGAGCCTCTGATGAGTTTGTCTTTGGGGACTCTGGGGCTGCTCTACCCAGTGTCATCACAAATTACCAGGAGAAATTGCTTCCAGCTCACAATCACATCTGCTTTTGGCAAGAACTAATGCACCAAGACTTCAAGTTCTAAGCCTCTGTTCAGATTTTAATTGCAATTGATCAGGTTTATATTATTGTACCTCGAGAGACTACATACAGCCAGAACTGGGCTTGCTGTTTCCTTTTCAGCAGCACATATAATTATTTGGTGTTCTGGTGGAGTACTTTTCTGATGGCAGAAATTAGTTTCTCTGGGTTCATCGGGACGGGATGCTTCAAGATTTAAGTGCAAGTGTCTTCTTTCCACCTTGTTCACAACACAGAACATTAGGTGTGTATGAAGTACTTAAACAGTACCTTTTTCTTTATTTCCTCTTTTTTTTTTCCTAGAAACCTTTACCTATTTTGCATGTTATTTTTGTCTTCGTATTTGTAGTTGTGAGATTGTGTACTGGGTGATTAGAAAACTAACATTGGTCTGTTTTATACATGCATGTTCTTTTAAGTATTTCAAATAATCTTGCACAGCACATTCTAATGAAGAGAGAATGTTTAAGAACAATAATGTACAAATCTGAATTTAGAGTAGTTGCTGAGAGATTCATTTAACAATAACAAAAATGTGCTGCTGCATTAAGAGAACTTTAACAAGTTGCAAGGTAGCTTTGTGCTAGTTGAAGTCTATTTGTTCTTTTCAGCAATATTTTCTGATTTTTTTTACTTTGATATTTATAATACTGTTTATATGAAGCATAAAGATTTTTGTGCATTGCCTGTTCTTAATATTTCTGGTCGACATTTATATGTAAACTTCTGCATCTGAAATAGACATGAATTTGATGAAAGTTAAAAAAATCTCTCTAAATTTGTCCTGATTTAAATGAATGTGAGTATTCACATATGTTTAATTTTTATCATGTACAGGACTGTGCACAGCTGTTTATAGAAGAGATGTTCTGGTTTTGTTGGTTATTTTTTTTGAAAGGAGGGATGTTGAGGTGAAATGTTTGCTGTTGGTTTTCATAGAAAGAGAGAGAAATATTGCTGATGACTGCTTGTCTACATACTGATTCTGTTTTAACAGCTTTATATATAGTTAGTCAAGTTCTTTACCTATAAGTAAGTTGTGGGGTATTGTTTATTTAGATGACATTTTTATTCTCATAGCATTATTTTTAGTATGTGGTTGTTCTGTATATAATCAGAAAGCCCTCCTTAAATTAATGGAACAGAGGATATATTTTTATGAATTAACATGATTCTTTCCTAATAATTGAAAACAGGATGTCCTGTACTAAGATAATTTTTGTAGTATAATGAACAGATACAACTGTAGCTGTCTCCCTGTGGTAATCTTCCTAAGGAACTCTTTATGTAGTATTATCTCATTCATTCTAGCAAGCTAGAATTATGTTAAAATACTACTCAAAAGATACTGTTTTTATTTGGAGAGGATAACTTTGATTTTTTCACTGGCATGGATGGTTTTGTTTCTGAAAAAATTATATTCTTTGATCATAAGTTAGAAAAATACAGGCATATTCATAATGCATGTGCAGATAATGATGGAAATTTAAAAATAATACAGAATTTAAAACTAATGATTTCTGTAGGTACATATATATTAATATAATTGCAATTTTTACTCTAGAGGCATTGCTTATTTTCAGTTAGAATGAATTGTTCGAGAGCATTTTTACCTCTTTGTCAGAGTGTATTTCACTGGATAAATTTAGATAGGTTCTGAGAGAGAAAGGTGTCTAGTCCTGTGTCAGCTAGGTTGAGGAACCTTCTTAAAGGTAAATAAAATGATCCAGTAAATATTTAAAAAATGAAAAAAAAAGTTGATTTTTCACCTAGCAGAGGATAATAAAGCTAAATAATGTTATTTGTCCATAGTATGTTATAGCTAAATATTACAGGTTTTCCAGTGTCCTAGAAATACTTTAAGAAATCTCTGTGTTTCGGGCCAAGCCGTGGTTTTAACTGTTTCATAAAACACAAACTTTGCACAGCTTTCCTAAGGGCTAAACTAAAACTGAAATAAAAAGTTGAGAGCATCAAGTATTGAGCTGTTAACTTGATCCCTAAGTTTTATAAAAAAACCCCAACCCTAAACAACTTTCAGTAGTCTTTATACTGTAATAGTGTTTGAGACTATTGTAGCTATGCTCAAATGTCTACATGGATGAGCTTAGCCAGGAAACAGATTTTGAAATCAGACTTGTTTACCCATTGCTAGATGTGTCCATTTATGTTCTTCTGGACCTTCATAGGCTAGAAGTCTGCCAATTTGGCAGCATCAGTAGTGTTTACATATTTCTTTTCATAAAGCTCTGGAGCCAGGGAAATGACCATGAAATTTTAAAACATCTTGACCCTTTTTAAGAAAAGCAGTGGCAGCTGACCAGGTTTCTCCCACGAGTTCAGATTCCCACTGGGGAGTAACCAGGTCAAAAATCTACTTATTAGTTAGGAGAAGAAAGTGAGTTGCATTTTATGACACACAAATATAATGCTTGAGGATTTTTTTTCGTTTGCTCTTCCTTAAGCTATCCTTACTACATCATACATTTTAGCCTGGAGATTTTTACAGTTAGTGTCACCTGTGACAAGCTGATGATAAACAAAGAAACAGAAAAGAAATGTATTCTTTTCCTGTTGGAAATGGTGGGTGGTTCACATGTGTTAATGAATTAATCCAAATGTAAACAATTCAGTAACCTCTTTAATATTTTATTACTACATAATTAACAAGCTGAATACTACTTACAGAAAGCTTACAAATGTATTCCACTAGCTGCATACTAGATTTTTATGGAAATGAGTTTTGGTTCTTACTCTGTGTAGTATTATATATGTAAGAAAGAATCTAAATTATTTTGATGTAAAACTTACTCCGAATAAGGTTCCTTCATGTCAATTGTTATGCAAGACAGAAGATAGAGTATAACTGTTTTCTGATGCCAGAAATTGAAAATGGGAAGCCTTTAATAACTTTGTCAGTGTTCAACCTTGAAATAGTTAAAATTGCCTATTGCTAACTAAGACAAATATTATTCAGGTATCTTTTCTTTTATGTTTAAATAACTCAGTGGCAACATTTTGTCACGATAGTACAGTAAAATGACTTTATTAATTCTATATATTTTGAATCAGATTGGTTCTGACAGATAACAATTGTTCAGTGCTTTGAAAAAATGGTTCAAATATTAATCTAATGTTATCATGGTAGCTCTTACTTTTTACTGTGGAATAAAATGAAGAGAGTACAAATTCTTAGTGAGTGAGTGTCTCCTTTCTATGGGGAAAGCATTTGTTTTTGGGGAACAATAGATTACCAAAACCCAGATTTTTATTTAAAATTACTGAGATACTAATTTCTCCTACAGCTTGTTAAAAATACATAAAAGGCATCCCAAGCAAACACAAATAATGTATGTACTAGATCTGCTTCTTAGAGCAATAGATAAGAAGCTTCTCAGATGGTAATATACTGAAAAATAAAATATAATGTTCTTTGAGTGATTTGAAAAAAACCCCCAAAAATATTAAGTGAACAGAAAGTACTTTGAAATAATAGCTACAGGTGATGGGTTCATGACTCTACTGCGGCTCAGCTACATTGAGTGGATGGCTTCTACAAGCTACTAGTATTCAGAAGCCAGTTTTTGGTATCTGAAATTAAGTAATTTTTCTCAAAAAATTAACACCCAACTTCGGAATGAACTTTAGAAAAGAAATTTCTGCCCTCCGCTTTCCTAACCTGAAGGTCCCACCAGTGTCGCAGTGATGTCTAAGCAAATGCTGACTTATAGTTTATTTCTTAAATGAGGAGGTATGAAAGTAAGTAGCTTCTAGTTCTTAAAGGATTATTTTTAATAAAAGTACTAGATCTTCAAATAGTACTCTAGTTAGAGTGGCTTTGTTTAATCCAGCTAACTAGATTTTTTTCTCCCAAAAAGTTGTAAAATTTACTGAGTGTAAGGCAAATTCTATGTAGCCATATTCAAGAATTATCTACTTTTATCAATTTTTATAGTAGTAATAATAGTCAAAAAATGATAATATCTTCATGGCTGAAATCTGCCTAATGGGGACAAACACAGTTTATAGTACAGAGAATGTCTTTTTTTTTTTTGTGGATTCTAGTGATCTGACAGATTTGGTTTTCTAATACTCATAACTTGTGATCTTAAATATCTTTGCAAAAAAGGAGAAGAGTTAGATTAGGCAAAATGGGAGGGAAAGGGATATTATTTAAAAAAAAAACGACAAAACCCCAAAGAAATAAATCCACCAAAAATCTACAAGTCTTAAGTCTGGAAGAAGTAATAGTCTGAAAGTAGTAATGTTTTTCTTGTTTGCTGGAAAAGTAAATAACTTTTACTCAAAATAATAGTTTTCAAAAGCATAGTGGGGTTTGCTTACCATGAGGCGTGTAGCGAAATGTTAAATGCGAGTGCTCCTTTTAAGCTAACTTTTTTCCTCATTTTTAGTATAGCAGCAAATGAAGAGCAGATTCTGCAAACCCATCTTCATATTCCTAGGGATTATTCACATAAGGAAGAATTTTGAGATCTGGAGCTAGTTTTGAACTGCATTTAAGTTTATTAGTCAGAGCATCTCACATTATGTAAAAAGGGTTTTGGCTTGTTTTGACAGCAAATCCAGTGCTTATGGGAAATAATATTTTTTACCATCTTGAAATTTGTCACTGTTTTGCTTTCTGAATGCTTCTTTGTTAGAGACAGTTGTTCCCGTGGAAAAAGAACAACTACCAACTAACGCCCCCCCCCCAGCTCCTTCAGGAATTAGTTACAATTTAGCCAATCTTTCAGATATTCAGACGTGACAATGAATCAAAGAAGACTCAATAGACCCATTACTGTTGAGGCCTGAAGTCTTATTTTAGCTGAAGCCAAAATACTACTGTTCATATAGAATTTCCTGTCAATTTCAATTTCTTTTACCACTTTGAATAACTGATGGATATTTTAAAACTAATTGCTCTTAGCTCTAAAAGTGAAGCATGAGGTCAGAGCACACAGTACCGCAGGAAGTGTTCTGCTACCCAAAATAAAGTTTTAAGTGAAGCATTTGCAGCTTCTTGTTTTTCTGGAACGTTTCCGTTTTTTTTTTAACAGGAACACCTTTCCCTGGAATGCAGCTCAGCTTTTGGAAGCAGTTTTTGACTGGGAGAAGGAAGAGTTAAATTTAAGCCCTTTATAGTTTGCTTAACTTTTCATTTATAATGTTCCTCAGCAGGTCTGTGCTGCATCTTGAGACAAAGCAGTGAAATCAGTGTGTTTATGCCTAAAGTTCAAGTTTACTTTGCTGTAGCTTTCTGGAAGGGTGTGACATGAAAAGCTTGTGGTTGGGGCCACATGGTTCATGCTGGACTGTGTTTTTGTGAATGGAGGCAGAACTCCAGTTCTGACTGCTTGTCTTGAGGAATTGCTTCGGAGATCAGCTGTCTCATTCACTGGCAGAAAGAATGACTCATACATCTTCTGCCTTGTTTGGCTTCAGGTCATTGTTACAGTGGATAGAGCTGGTTTTAATTAAATATTAACTCCTTTTGTCCTGGATACTTGTTAATGGGGACTTTTTGTTTACTTGCAGTGAAAGCAAGCTAACAGGCCCTAGTTTTAAACTTCTTTTTTCCCCCAAAATTGCTTTCCATTTGCAAAATGAGCTGTCAGTTCAGCTTTTCAAAGATTGTTTAAAGCTCTAAAAACTACAAACAAGTATTAAGTGTTTTTGTGCTGTGAATGTTTGCATTTGGCAAACTGATTTTAACTTAGTAGGTAGTGAAACTGTGAAACCTAAACTGATAACATCTCAAGATCATCATTAACATTTCTGTACACTTCCCAAATCCTCTTGAGATGTTATAGCTATAGTCAGAAGAAAAAGAAAACTTTTGGTAATATTCTAGGCTGAGTTGGATAGTTTATGCTGCAGATGTCTGCTTCAGGAGTGTGAGACTTGATGGCTCTGAATGTGGAATGAACTAATGTAACTGCTTCTGCTATTAGCAGTAAAAGCCACATGCTTAATATCTTTCAAAACCTTTTATTAGTCTTTTGGAATACACTTGCCTTCTCAAACCCCTGTAATTAAGTAGCTCAGGGAAATATTCTCATTCAGTTAGGTGATCATTTCAGATATCTTTTTCAATTTTCCTCTGAATGGCAAAGTAAAAAAAAAAGTTTTGGTGATTTATGCACTGTGTCTTGTGTATGTTAACAGAAGACCAATGAAGATTTTATGGCAAGCTTGCTGAGTTGCAGTATTTGTGAATAAAAGAGGAAATGAATGGCATATGTATATAAATGTGCAGACAGTTGCAACACTGCAAGTACATTTTCCTTTCAGACGTTCATGTTGAAGGGTCTTTACTAGTCTATTTAATTTGCTACAAAGTCTGCCTGTAATTATTCAAACTCCAGGTACAAAAGCCCTCTTCTACTTGAGTAATGGGATGATGTATCCCAATGATTTGCCCTCTCACAGCAAGGTGCTGGTGGAAGGAATCTCTGTGTATGAGGATGATTGCTCGCATTTCGGAAGCATGATCATGTGCAAGTTTCAGTTCTGCTAGTTTAAAAATAATATCGAATTAAATGAAGGGATAATTTGAGTTTTCACTTCCACTAGCAGATCCTTTTAATTTCTCCCTATAGCCTTTTGGGCTCATTTCTAAGGTACTGATGCTACTAAAATTAGATTCCAGTAGAAATGCATGTTCCTGGGTTGAACATTTTGAATGTTGTTATTTGTTTTGTTTATATTTGGCAGGGTTTTAAATACTTCTTAACTTGCTGTGTTCTTTTCTCTAAAGAGGCTTTTAAGGCTATGTTAATATTGTATTTAAATTTTGACATTGCAGTCTCCACCTGTTTCCAGAGTACTGATAAAGTGATGTGCTTTGATCTCTATTAAATATGCCTTCATAAATTTTGGGGATTCATGAATGAAGTACATTTTTTTTGTTTATTCCATAAACAAGAGCAAATCAGGGGTAACGGCAGTAATATAGAGGTTTCCATGACATATTTTATTTTTTCCTTACTGTATGGCTGGGGAAAACCAAAAAGGACCTTATTTACTGATATTTATACATAAAACTCTACAACAGATTTGTTCTGGACTAAGTCAAATTAAAGTGATAAAACCAGAACAAAGCACTGATGAAGCTGTCTGGTGTGCAGAGTACGCTCTATGGAAAGTTATATGATATTGGCTGTCCCAGTGCTGCAGTCACTAAATGTAGCCTCTGTATTTAAACAGGAGGTTGTTTCTTTTTCTTTAGGGCTTTTTCGTATATCCTAGATTCACAGATTAATACATATATGTATATATAAACTGCAGGTGTGTGTTAAAAAAATTAGAGTTCTACTAGCCTCCTTGCTGCATTTGAAAATGATAGCTGGCTTAAGAAAACTGCGTGGGATGTGTCTTCTGTAAACAAGAAATTACTTGATACAATTACTTTAAATCTGAATGTACTCACAGACCCTTGAAAAACAATTGGAAATATAAGAAATCCTTATGAACTGATTTTTAAGTAGAAGACTTTGATTTCATGATTGGATTCTTCTGTGGCAGTCAAATGGTTGGCATTTTTGTAAGGAAAATGATAAACATTTGCATGCAGTCAATTGCATGAAATGTCAGAAATTGCAGTGTTAATATTTGGGCTTCCTGAGTTCATTTTTGGTAAAAGTTCTGTAGTTTCTCTGAAGAAAGAGAAGTTTAATGTGTCAAAAATACTGGGAATATTTGAGTTGGTAAAATAAGTGTTTTATACAGCTTCAAACTTTGAGGAGCCCACATGTCCTCAGAGGCACTGATTTATCCTGAAAGGATGGTTTACTGTAATGTTATTTGTTTCTTTAAAAACCCAAACAACAAAGCAACAGTAGCTATGCTTTTTTTTCACAGTAAGGCTAATTACACTTAGTGAGTTTATCTTACACTTCTTTTCAAATCTGTGTTTGCATATTTCCCAAGGTCATTTGTTCTTAAAGGGTACTTTCTCCAATTAGGACAGTAAGATTTTAAATTTATTTTAAAATCCAGAGCAAATAATTTTTCAGTGTAATGAGCCTGATTCCGAACTCTTTACTAGGAAAAAAAAAATTCCAGTTAAGTCATTAGAAATATTTCCTGAGTAAGGAGTGGAGATCTGGTCCATGAAGAGTACTGTAGTGTACATTGAAAATAACTGTAATTATAGTTAAATACATATTTTAAATTCAAACAAATTATAACTGGTAGCAGTTGTACATATATGATGGGGAGTATGCACTTTCTAAACTAGAAAATGTTTTGAGGGGCATTAAAGTTATATTTTATCACTTGAAATGTTTAATAATTTGATAGTCACAGTTTTGATAAATGATTATATAAGCAGCATTTACCTCTCAAATCTCATTGGGTAACCAGATCATGGCAGATGTTAACTTTTAATGAAGATCATGTGAATTATTTGCTTATCTTTAGACAAGAACTGTGTAAATTAAAGTATTTTTAAACATAATTTTATGCAGCTTTGCTGTGGTGATTCCTGTTAGTGTGTATGTTGAGGAAAAGATGACAAAGTTGAGATGATAAGCTGGATCTCTCTCGGGATGTATGCAGAAGCAGTCTTGCTCTGAGGATGCCGTTTCTCAGTATAATTTTCTGCAGTTATTTGAATGCATTCATCTGTAATATACATTTAGTGGTATTTCAGCTTAAATGGTTTAAATGAGTTTACAACACCGTTTGAGAGATGGTTAATGTCTTAGACATACAATGAAAGGGAACTGGGGTACCACAGGAGCAAAATTATCCATTAGCAGAGCATGAAATGATTGTATTTTATAGTTCTGGTTTGTGATGAAAGTTTCCTGAAAGCAACGATGATCCTACATAAGGTGAATGGATATTAATCATGATTTTTGCTTTAAGTAAATATTTTTTTTTATGTCTGAAGTGTTGTCGTTGAACCAGGAATTCTGTGGTCTGGTAAAATAGTTCTTTTTGAATATTTGAAACAATAACAGAAAATCCCTACTGTGTTGGCTGACTACCACAAACAATTGGAATCACTTTTAAGTAAACCGAAGGTGTGGTAGTTTGGGGTTAAAGAAGCATAAGTGTTAATCAGTAGGATTTGTTTTTATGTGGACTTAGTGTTCAGATATTTTGACACTGAGCACTGATGAGTTTTACCTGTGTCATGGTAGGTCCAGACCATGGTGCAGGGAGTGAGGCAGGGCAAGTCAGCCCATTCCCATTGCTCTGTGCCGGGGATGCTGTGGACTCAGACTGCACCGCACAGCTTCACCCCAGGGTTTCTCAGATATTAAAATGATGCACTTGCCTGATTTTCATACTCAACAAGGAAAAAAAATCCTAATTTTAAACTTGGCAGTGCTTTGAATTAAGCACAAGTCTTTATTTATGCTATAACGGCTTCTTTTAATTCTTGTTTTTTGTTTGTTTGTTTGTTTTTTGTTTTTGTTTTCCTTTCTTCAGCTCAGGTACCTGACAATGACGAGCAGTTTGTGCCAGACTATCAGGCTGAAAGTTGTAAGTATAGTACGACTCATCACTTTCTTAAAAATATGTATTTGTATGTTTATGTTTGGGTCTTCATATTTGTTATTTATTGTGTCATCTGCAGTCCTTTTGCTGGTCGGTGACATCAGTGCGATGAGTAGATAAAGCAAGTGGCATTTTGATGTGCAGCCAAAAGAAGTTGTTTGAGCTGAAGGTATAACCTTTAGCAGGGGGCCCTCTCATATCATTCCCACCCTGAGCCCCAGGGAAGCATGGAAAAACTCAAGTTGTGGAGGTGGAAGGAGTTTGTTTGTCCGTAGAGCGAGCAGAGGAGCATTCTGAGCTGGTACAGATCAGATACTGTGGGACATAGGAGGCAACTCTGCTGAGCAGAAATCGGGCTGCTCAGCACGTTTTGTGTATCAACAAATAAATACAGTTCTCCACATAATCAATCAAATACAGCCACTGCTGAAGCATTTTTAAGTTGTCTTAGCATGTGGCATTTTGTTGCTCAGAAAAAATTTCCCTTTCAATTAATGGGAGGATGCAGGAGTTACATTAAGCTGAATGCTTTGCTTTGTTTTCTACTCTACTTAACAAGAACCTAAACTTATTTTTATCAGCCTATGCTACTCAAGTCTTGCTTTCACCTGCTAAAATGCTACTATTCTGTTAAGCACTGGCTCCCCTTTACGGTACCTTTGGTTCTGTGGTTTTGGGTGGTTGCAAGGACATAGCATGAGAAACATCTGACAAAGTCACAGACTTCTTGGAGCACCTTTATGCATTTTTATTCCTCATGGCAAGACTTCTCCCCATCATCAGAAGTCTCTTCTAAACAGTGTCTGCTGATTGTAGCAGAGCGCATGGGAGCTTTTCCATTTTGCTAGATAACTTAAATAATTTATCCTATCAGAGTGAATTACTGCAGTTCACTAAACCAGATAGCTGTTAAACACAGCATTCATGTATTGAAGCATTAAGATTAATATTAGAGAGATTAGGAAGAATTGCATTAAAATAGTCTTTAACCCAAAAAACAAATTCAGTTTTCCTATAAATCTTTTAGATTATTTTTCCAGTTACTTAGGAATTGTTCTAGGAAGAATTTATTGAGAGTATTCATAACAGCATTTTGTGAGGAAAAACCCCACACTTTTTTTTTCTTCCCCTGGAATTGTTGCTGTGCAGGATAGTATTCCCACACAGCAACAATTTATTTTTGTTTTTCTCTCAAAGTTCACGTTCATATACCAACCAAAAATCATGGTCACTTTTCAACTTATAAAGTTGCCCTTATAACAGATTTTTTTTCCTACCTCTGTCTTAAAAGACTTTAAAAAAAAATTATAATGTGAAAACCAAAACAATCTATGAATTGAAAATTGGATACGTTATTTTACATGGGGAATTGTGCCCAAATATAGTCATTCATGCATATATCCTTTGTGTAACAGTACAAAGTTCAGTTGGGGCTTCTATTAACCCACAATTATCGTAATACAACAAGTCAATGATTCTTGGAAAATACTTTGTGAACTGTGAAAGAAAAGCCCCATTGAAGCTGGTCACTGCTTTTGGTGATAAAGAAATACTCCTAATATGGTTATTTTATTAATGCTGTTGTCTTTCGAAGTTCCTTAGCCACAGCTTACACAGTATTATCAAAGGAACATTTATTTCTTCGTTTCAGTTGGTTTCTTTATCTTAAGTAAAGGTCAGGAGAGCTTCCTGGTGAGCTACTCTGGCAAAGGTTATGGAGTTTCAGACATATACTTGGTTATAATGTATGTAGCTGTGGGCTCTGCAAAACAGGAACGGAGATCAACATAACTGAAGCCATGGGGAAATTACTGCTGCAGAAGTAGCACAATTGTGATTGTTTTCTTTAGGATCCAAACCTGCCTTCAAACTCCATTATAATGATTTACTATATATAATCCATACCTCTGCACGGTACTCGCCCCATTACTGGCAGCAGTCTGGCAGGAGCACTTTGCTTTTTTGCCTTTTTTTTTTTTTTTTTTTTTAAAATTTATTTTTATTTTTTACGTGGGAGAGGATGGACAAGCTTTCATGGATTTAGTGTTTAATGCATTTAATTGATCCAAAAATGGTGAAGGATAGACGTGTAAACCAGTGAAGGAGGTCACAACCACTGTAGTTCAAAGGCAGCTAAACTGTGGTTCATTGCAGAAGTTTTATTTATGGAGGTGGATATAGGTAGAGGGGTGTGGTTGATGTGCAGAGTATGTAAAGAAAACTGCAGTGCTCCAGTGAAACAGTTACAATCTGCAGTCCAGGTGCAAAAATTAATGACATTTTATTTCAGGATTCATTGCTTGAGAAAGGGGCTTTAAAGCTGAGGCAGATTTGTGGTGTTAAACTGAAACTCGTGACATTAAAAGGAGACTTTAGAAACTTTGGTAGCAGTAGCAGTACTGGAAAGCTGTGGTTAAAACTTTCTTGCCTAGAAATTACCAGCTTGGTGATTTGAAGAGGTCAGCTCTTGGAGCAAGATGTGGAAGGTAGCGGAGGAACTGATACTGCCAAGATCATGTGCTGTGTCCTACCACTGAGCAGGATTAAATGCCCCTTATAGTGCTGTGAGTTTTGCATTTTTTTCCTGTAATAATGATTTTAACTAGTGAAACTGCACTGGTATTAGTAACTAAGGGAAACATTTAGTTTAGATTAGATATACAGTCCACTTTATCCACTCAGGGATTTAACTTCAAAGCTAGCTTGGGACCATGAATATTTCAATTATGAGTTGCTATTAAACTTCAGTCCATTTTCAAAAAGCAAACATAATATGTGTATTTATAGTTAGGTGTAGGCTTAGATATTATGAGTGAGATCAACAGCTAGCATAACTTCATGTGGTATTATTGACGTTATTGGAATTACGCATATTTCTATTAGCTAAGGATCCGGCATGTCAAGCTTCCCCTTAATGCTTTAAGCTTCAGTTTACCTGTTTAAGGTAGAATTTATTTTGTTACTCCTTTATGTCTTCTGGAAAGGGGTCCTTCCTACCATAAGAATCTTAGAAATGTCTGCACTTTCAAACCTTTCTTTTTTGTCATCAAAGCCCCATCTTCTCTTACCTTTTTATTAAATATTTTTTTATCTTTGCATACCTATCACAAAGTACCTTTTTGTAGTTTTGCTTAGAGTGAGTGGAATGTAGAGTAAAAAACAACTGCCTTGTTCAGATAAAATTTGAAAAACAGAACACAGTTTAGTTTCTTGTAATCTTCTGCTTTCTGCGAGAACTCAAATTCTTGAGTTCTGAGGGAGAAAAATGTATATGAAAAAGATTTTTTTTTGTTGTTGTTTGAAGTTGCACTAAGAAAATATTGAATTGCATATTAGTGTAATTTTCTTACTTTTTCATTCCCATCCTTATATAAAATAAAGTCTACAAAAAGAGTGAGGAATCACTTATACAGGCATTAACTTAAAAGTTCTGTGTTAGGCAAGTTGGTTTTGCCTTATTCTGAATCTGCTTCTGCAATTCAGCTCACCTGTTTGCTGAATATTCAAGTGACTTCCTAATGACTCTTCTTTAAAGAATTACATGAGAAGTTGTGTAAAGAAAAGATGCAAAATCTGTTTCCCCTAAAAAGGTGAATGCTTTTTCTGTTTTTTCATTCAGAGTTCTGTACATGACTCTTTTTCCAAATTCTTATCTAATTCATAAAACTTAATTAAGCTGTTCTTCTGTCAGTATAAAGTCAGTATTCACGTGTGGAGAAGGGTGACCTGTGTTAACTTCCTCAGATAAGGTTTCCTATTGTTTCAAGTCCATTTTCATATACCTAGGAGGAGCCAGATCCTGAACTGCTTGTAATCAGTGGCGAGGTTTTCAGATACTGTAGAACAGCAAGGACTTTCCACTCCAGGAGTAAAAATGAATAAAGTGTTCAGTTTGCTTGAAGTCAATAGCTGTTGAGGTGAAGATTGCTTGCTCCCATTATTTGGATGGTTTCTGTGACAGACACAAGAGGAAGTAGGTAGGATTTGCTGATGTTTAAAGGATGTAGTTGGCAAAGAAAACTTGGTATTGTCAACAATACCCTGAATTGTAATTCGACCTAGGTACAATTGGTTATAAATGGGGATTACCCTACACCAAACCGTATTGCCTTGTGTCTTCATAGCATAATCACATTTTGTTTTGTTTTTATAATATGTTTTTGGACTAATCTATTTTTTTAGTTTTCTTTTTTCTTTTTCTTCTTTTGCCCTGAAATGTCAGTTACATATTTAAAAATAATGAAAAACTCTCGATTTTGGCTTTTTATCTGTTACTAGATTTCTATTAATGATGATTTGTCTTGTGCTTCACCTTCTTGATCAGTTTTCTTCTCTTTCATTTTATTCCTGTGTTGTTTTCCAGATCATCACAGCCTTAACACTGCCCAGGGGTAAATGTTAGTGTTAGACCACAGCTGTTTACAGTAAATGGGAAGAGCTGGCTGTAAAATCCGTGCTCCTTCATGTCTGATTAAACTTTAAGATAGGAAAAATACTTTTTTAGTAGTTATTTTGTTGCTGATCTTTCATGACCTTTATTCTTTCTCTTACCTCTTTTTTGTTCCTCCAGTTTTAGCAAAGGAGTGCTTTCCATGTAGATGCCAGGAGCCTTAAATTATTCAGGGATGTGCTTTTTAGATGCTCTGGCTTGCAATCTTTAAAAGCCTGTTAAAGAGAGATTCTTTACACAGGCTTCAGGTAGCTGTATTCTGTCATTTTAACTAATGGTGTAGGATATTCCAAATGCACTTTAAATGAGGAAAAGCTTTAATATTTACTTATATGTTTGCAGCATGCAAAATAATGACTTTTTTTTTGCACTACCAGGTGAAAAATGCTATGTTTGTTTTACTTTCTCTTTCTTTCTGTGTTTTAAATTTCAAAGGTGAATTTCAGACCTAGAAGAGCATTTCCTGTTTGTTTTAGTATAGCAAGAGCTGATGAGCAATTGATAGAGGTTAATTTTCACTTAATTTTACATATTT